CATGGAGTCAGGAGGATTCTCCATGAAAACATCTTAATAAGTTTTTTGGTCCAAACATTGTCTCAAAGTGACTATTTAATAATTATTATTAGAAAATATTTTAATCTTGCATTATATTACCCATCTATTTACAGTATATTAATTAGCTGGTTGGCTTCCCATACTTTCTCTAAGGAGAACTAAACTTTAAATCTCATGTAATTTGCATGTAAAAATAGTAATTGGATTCCTTCAAGTTGTACCCTACAGTTAGTGAATGAATGAATATAAATTTTGCCTTACTGGTTTTTGGTTTTTTTTTTTAATACTTCATTTTTAGTTGATACTCGGTTGGTTACTTCTAATGTATTCATTACCTAATGAAGTCACTAATCACCATGAATAGCTTATTTATTGATGCCAAGTATATTTACTCCTCAGGAGTATCTTCAATTCTGTTACCATAATAGTGTGTCTATTTCATATAGTAAAATTGGAAATAGCATTTTATATTCTTTTATATAGATTGTCCTGATACATTAAAGGTGTTGTATATATAATCTCATATATGTAAAAGGGTTTTGAGAGAGAGAGAGAGAGAGAGAGAGAGATAAAATTTATAGAGAAATGAATTGAGCTCAAAATAATCATTCTTAGTGAGATTGCCCAGATCAGAAACCGAGATGTCAATTTTTTGTTTTAATCTCTGCATCTTAGCTTTGAATCTTAGATGTGTATGTTTCATTTGGAATACCCATAGAGATCAGGAAATTAGTAAGAGGACATGGGGTGGGTATTTTAGGGGAGAAAAGATAAGCATCATGTGTATAAGGGAACAGGATAAATGGAAACTGGGCTAGAAAAACAAGGTAGAAGAGGGAATACAGGCAGGAACAGCTAACATTAAAGACATTTAGGAAAAGTCATATGGAAGCAGAGTCCTGTAGAAGATGTCGTTTGTGAGAAGCCGCCCACCTTGTTTTTCAGAACGTATCTTACTGGTTGCTGAGACTCACTGATTAAGCTGGACCAGCAGGTCTAGCTCGCCAGTGAGACCTAGCCATCTGACTGTCTCTGTCTCCCTTACACTGGTATTGCAAGCATACATCACTGCTCCTAGCCTTTTATATATACATGCTGGAGATTAAATTTATGTCCTCATGCTTTCAGGGTAAATACTTTACTAACTGAGCCAACTCCCCAGCCTTGGTGAAGGGAATTTTAAAAAAGAATATAATTGGTTGATTTAGAAAAGCCCACTATACGTACATGATAATTTTAGCATACGGCTTTGAAATTTTGTCAAAGAATGGAAAAACAAACAAACAAACAAAAACAAACATTCAAATTCAGGGCTACCAATACTTTTAAAAACAGGATAGTCTCTAGTTTTAGTACTTAGAGATTGTGTCTCACAAATCTGATATATGAGTATGTTTGTACATGGGTCCATGTACATACATGACTGTGTGTACATGAGTCGGGCCAGAAAACCACAATGGATGCCTTCTACTATTTCTATCTACCTTATTTTTGAGGTAGGATCTCTTGGTCTGTCTGCAGCTCTGTTACTTGGCTAAACTGACCTTCATCTTCCTGTCTCCACCCCCCAGAGCTGGAATTATAGGCAACATGTCTAGGGCTATGATTCGGATGTAGGTCCTGGGGATTCCAACTTGGGGGCTTATGCTTGTGCAGTAGTGACTTTATCCACTAAGCCATCTTCCCAGGCCCTGCTTACAACATCTTTATAGAGGTACATTATGTCTTCTGAAGCAAAATATTAAATATTTCTAGATATTACCAAACACAGGCTTACACCATCAATTCAAATATCTTTGGAATCTTATTAGAAACAGGATTAGGTTCATTTCTATGTAAATAACTTCATGCTATCAATTTCTGACATTTGAAGAAATGTGAGGTTTTGTTCCTTCAGAGAATTAGACAATACTACTTTCCGCCAATCAGACAAATAGCTAGCTGCTTAATTGAAAGTTTGGTCGTCCAGGGCTTAATATTCCACATCACTTGGAACATTGCTTTGTATGAAGACTCTGCAAAAAGATGTTTTTGAATTACTGATTTCCTTGGTGATTTCTTCCCTTTTATTAAATATATTATACAATATAATCTGAATAGAGTTTTCCTCCCCTCTACTCCTCCCAGTTCCTCCTTCCCTCCTCCCCTATCTAGATCTACTCCCTTTTTGTCTCTCATTAGAAAACAACAGGCTTCTAGGAGATGACAACCGAACCTAACAAAGTAAAATATAGTAAGATTAACTTGGATTTTTTTAAAAAAATTCTTTCATGTATGTGTTTTGAAATGAGTAATGCTAGTTTTTCTTCAGATTTTCTTAACCAAGCCTTGTTAAGAAGATGTTCTTTAGGTGCTAACAGGCCCAGTATGTTACAGGTATTAGCATTCTAATGCACACAGCTCCTTGTTTGGATTACATCTGAGTAGTTTTAAAGATTCAATAAAACATTCATATTTGAAGACATACATATATGTAACTACCAAATTAAACTTATCTTTATAAACTTTTTTTCTATGTAATTTAATTTTCTAGTTCCTAGTCACATTGATGGTTTTATTTTGTTAGCCCAAAGTCACCAGTTTGGCTTTTTAAAAATTAGTTTTAGAGCCTATAAATAACTCCTTTCCTCCTTCTCTTTTACTTTGGTTAATATTCACATTGAATATTCTTTGAGTTATAGGCTAATTTGTGAGTCATTTTTTCAAATTTTCTGATACATAATAACACTGTGCAAGTACTTTAGTAGACATTGGACTTGATTTCACTGTATGGATTATAGTGGAATCTTTTGTTGCCTAATTTAGTAATAATTTTATCATAGTAAGTTAACATCTCTTATAATTTTAATTGTTATCAAGAAGAATGACATCGTTTTAATTTGACAGAAAATGTAGGAAGATGAATTAATGACAAATTAATAATTTACCACCTTTGCATAATACTGAAGCATATTAGAAGGATTGATGATAGAAAAGGTTAACAAATTTTAGCAGCTTTCATTAGCTGTGCACTATCATATGTTTGTGGTACTGACTGAAATAGGCTTTATAGCAAATCTCAGTCTAGGGAACTAATTACTTGTGCCGATTGCTGCACTGATGAATAGGCCCTCATTGTATCATTCCCCTAAAGACAAGGAGCAGCCTGTGGTTCACTACTGCATCCTGGCTGATATTTGATAATAATTTTAACAGATAAATGTAGGAAGGCAGAATGATGAAGTACCTATCCCAGCTCTTTGACTATCAAAGCCATGCACACAACCATCTGGGTACCGCCTCTTTCCTTCTCAACTAAGGGGAATTTTACAACTGGGTTCAAGCAATTGTGTTGTGCTTGTGTACTTAGTTTGTATATATTGTAAATTTATTTTGAAATGATATCATTGTGTTAGTTTTTATTTAAACTAGGTACCAAACAATGAAGTAAAGAAAGAGTAAATGAATTCTAATTTTCTTTTCTGTGGACCACAGTGCCCACACACTTTTGTATTTCATTTTGATATCATTTCTCCTTCTCACACATGACCAAAATCAACAAAGGAATTGTTTGATGTTCTTGTCTCCTTTATATTCTCTGAAAAGGTTATTGGATTCCTACTACTTTTAAAGTATTTTCTTTAAAGTAACGTACTATTTGTTGTGCTTTTACTGTGCTTTTACAACTTAACTTTTAACCAATAATCAATACCAGTTACAAACCTCTTTTTATAGACGATATCTTTAAAAGATTAAAACGAGGTTGACTTTATTTGGGTGTTTTGGGATCGTCAGCTGGTAAAGAGTATTAATTTGTCAAAGCTGACACGTACAGTTTTATTAGCTCATGAAATACAAGTAAGATTTTTGTTTTTTATTAGTCATTCCTGCAGAAGTTTTAATTATGTATATGTTTTTATTTCATTTTTGAAACTCAGAGGTTTTCATGCTGTACATCTTTAGCGAATAAATATATTCTCCAGAGGATTTTTTCTCTATGTAGCAGAAATAAACCTCTATGTTAGTATTTCCCTTGTAAAATATTTTTAAGCATGCTAGGACGTGGGTATTTAACAGCAGAGAAACTTGACATTTATGTGTTGCCATATAAAAGATCTATGTAATTGGGGGAAATATCATAGAACTTGGATTTTAAAAAATAAATTTCCAAAAGTATGCTTTCAATATAGTAATTATTGCACATCATATAGCATGTAGTTTTTAATTAAATAGAATAACAGGCTACATAAAACAGAAATTCAATCTGATTTGCTTGAAAATAGATTGCTGTTTCACTCCACAAGAATGGTTTATTTAAAAACAGTAAATGGAAAAGAAATGCATTTTCTTGTGTTGTTCTAAGCCTCAGGGGCTAAATGTAATGAATATTTTAAGAGATTATTTTAATTAAATTCCTGCACATCTAAACAGAGTAATATTTTATTATCACATACATAACCATGTAACCGAGATATTCATTAAAGTTAACACTTTCTGGACCAAGAATTCATCGTATGATTTACTGACCTTGTGCAAAAAGGCACAAATTAGGAAGAAAAATGAAGGGGGACAGACTTTGATTAATATAGGTAATGCTATACCATATTTATAATAGCCTTTTCCCTATTCTGGTTTATAAATGCAGCCACAGAGAAAGGTGCCCTGCTGAGGCTGAAATGAGGCTGAGATCAGAGCACATGCCACGGGAGTGTGGGGAAACTGATCACACTGTCAGCAATTCATTTCAAAATGATGTATTTAGTGCTCATTTCACCTTCCAAGAAAAGGGACAGGAGTTCCTTAGACTAGAAGGTGATATTGTTATTTTCAAGGACATACCTAAGTTAAAGATTACAGAAGCAGAGTGTGAGATGCTGGGAGAATTAAGAGAAAGGAGAGGGGGAAAGGCAGAGCAAACAAGGAGAGCTCTATGCAGAGAGTCAGTGCTTCCACGCTGTTTGATAATTGCTAACATATGTGGCGTCTCTGTTTCATTGTAGTCGTCCTCGTGAGTTCTGGCGCCTTGACTACTGGGAAGATGACTTGAGGCGCCGGCGACGATTTGTGCGTAACCCTCTAGGATCGACACATCCTGAAGCGACACTAAAAACAGCCGTGGAACATGGTCAGTGTTTAAACCATTCCTTGCCAATAGCAGCAGGTACAGTACTTGGTGATGAAGAGCATAACTTCTCAAATACAAAGCACGGCAGAATGTCTAAAAGCACATTTCACAGTGTCTTACCCCACAGAGGGTTAGGGGGATACATTTTGTATAGGATCCCAAGAAGTGGTGGTATATTTATTTGTTACAGTACAAATACAAAACTCAAGAACATAACCCATTGTTTCAGAATTTGTCCTTTTAAGCAACATATTCAACTTTGAGTAAATTAATCCTTCAAGCCTGACTTTAAATCCATGAGCATAAGAAACACAGAATTTACAAACCAAATAGGTTTCTAGGTTCTCTCTGGTATGTATAGTTCTCCTCCAGCCGTGGGGGGATAATAAATGGCCAAGTGCCTTGGTAGTTGCTGAACCTTGATTTGCAGTTGTGATTGATGGCTCATGGACAAGAGAATAGACATTTTCATATGTTCCTATTCTGTACCATCTTGTTTTCAGAGCTTAACAAAACATTTCCTCTTTTTGTTAGGATGCACAGGATGGTGACTCAATTTAGGTAGAAGTCTGATAGCTGAAACAACTGCAAAAGGTCTCTTGTGTTTGAAAATACACTTTCTTTAATCAGAGAATGACCCTTGCTATTTTAAAAAATTCTAAAAGCCAGTTAAAATATATTAATGGGGAAATGCCTCTCTCTACATTAAAATTACTTTGTTTAAACAAAATATAAAGTTGTTAAAATAGAAATAGTCCTCTCATCAGGATATTAGTTTAGCATGCTGTAGTTTGTGATGAAATGACAATGGATACCACAATTAAATGAATGTAGAATTATACTCAGTAAAGATAATAAGAATTTTTATCGATTTTTATTGTTTCTAACTGGTACAAAAGAAATTACATGTGCTTATGTGGTCATGTTTCAATGCAGGCAATGATATTAAGAATTTAGATTAAAAATCCGTAGTCTTGGTTTTGGTCTCAGTCAGGCCATTTAACCTCTTGCACTCATCCTTAAAGAGCCATTTCTGGAAGAAAATGTCCACAATATGTCATCAGATATAACACCAAATGTGACATCAGTCTGTTAAAATAAATGATCATACCGAGAATAGTCAATAACAAAGTGATCTAAAAGCAGTAATAGTCTCGGGCCCTATGTCTTCAACTACAGGGGGTGGGAAGGAGACATGATGAAGAAGTAATTAGGCTACTTCCCTGTGAGGTTCATATTCTTTTTGTGTGGTGGCACAGATTCCAGAGTTACATATTTCCCCCCCTTTTTTTTTTAACTTTTTTTTCTGTTAATGATATTTTTCATTAAGAAAAGTTGGTTTGCAGTTTCATCCTTTTCAACCACATAGACATTGTTAGGTGTGTTTAACATTTGAAATTAAATAACATTTTTCTATTCTAAACTCTTATTTAATAGTTAAGTTGTGAGTTCTGGTGTCCATATTAACAAAAATATATTGTTACCTTTTACAACAGGAAGTGTAGGACTTCTTTTCTAAAACTGCATGCTAGAAGCTGATTTTTATTCATTATTTTATTTTATTCTTTATTCAGCTTACCAGAAAAATTCTATTACCAGAGAAATACCAGTAACTGAGTTCAAAATGCAGTAGTATAAGTTAAATACAGAGCCATTTAAATATATTTTTGTTTAAAAAGTACCTTTAACCATTTTGAAGTATTATATAATTTTTACTGGATAAATTTTAATTATTGTTGAACTTTACCTTTTAAAATAAAGTATTAACTTTCTAAATTCTAAGCACCTGCAGTAATATTCATTAGTAATGTATAATTAAGACTTTCAGACTGATTTAGGCACAGCTGCCATTCTTATTATAGATATTAATTATATATCGATACAATATTAATTATCTTTATTTGATTGTGAGTTGTTGATAGAATTAAGATATTTTAAGCAATTCTCTTATTTACTAATATCTTACATAAATTGTAGAATGATTAACCAAAAATTGCCTCTGAAGCATTTATTTTTTAAAAGGCACCTAAATCTATACCTGAGTAGTATTACAATTAAGATATAGATTATGTTTAATATATTTAATATTTATATGTTAAATACATATTTATTACAATCTTTTTAAAAATATAAAAGCTATACTTTATTCTTTGTATGTTTTTGCTATCTTTAGTGACAAAGCACATGATTACATACAAATGTTACTATATTTGATGTCAGTTTAATTTATGCTAATATATTCTATAAGGAAAGTACTTAATTTTAACTTGATTTTATGGAATCAAATAACTTATCAAATTGACATTCAATCTTGATCTCATGTTAATTATGATATTTAATATTTTAATAATTCCCAAACCCCTATGTATGCTATCAAACATATGACTCAAGTATGCAAAATAAAACATTTGTTCTGGCCAAAAGCAATTAAAATTATAGTTAAGTATGGATACATACTATAGAGTTCACTATTGAATTTAGAAATAGAAATTTCCATGGCTGCTATGTTAGTGTTATATTGCTTTATGATTTTATTTATAATTTATTTAACAAAAAAGACAAACTTTTAAAAATGTAGACTCTTAGAACCTCTTGAGCTGTATTATCATTGCTAAAGAAAGGCATCTGAATAGAAGTGCCATTGGATATTAGTGATGGATTTTGGTAGTGCCAGCCATCTTTTTTATAGATTGATTTGGTTTGAAGGAAAGCCTCTGGTGTAAAGGTGGCAGAGTAAATACCTGAAGAGTGATGTTCTCTGTTGGTGCGATCAATACCAGCCCCATGACTCTACTTCTGGCTACCTTCTAGTTAAAAACAAATTTTTTAATTCTGACAATTTAATTGCCCTTCCCAAGTTCACATTAACTTGCTTGGGGAAAAGAGCTTTAGGTAATTTTTCAAGCAGAGACTCTCCAAAGTGGTTATTTATAAAAGTCGTGTTATAATGGGAGGTTCTTTTAACTTTGCAGAAACTGTATCATGATTTAAAAATAAAGTAAATATTTTATCTTATGATTAAATCTTATTTGTGGATAGTAACATCAGCAAGAAATGATGGGCATTTGGTTCTTGACATTTTATTCTATTTATAGTCTTAAAATGTATTAAATATTTGTCATAATGGTCCCTCACATATTTCCAATGCATGGAGTCCTGTGTGGCATTTATGATGTGAACATTTTATATCTAAGGCTCAAGTCTTGTCTAAATTTTTCCTTAAAGATAAAGAAACTGAGTTAAGAAAGGGCTAATGTAATTCTTGGAGTATACAGGACTACAGCCTAGGTTAACTGAGGACTGGTTGGATTTTCATGTCAATATGCGTTGCCTTCAAAAGTTTATTGCTAGATATAGTGGAAAAAATTTCCCTTAAAGTCATGTAAAATATATTTAGATAGTAAGAAGATATTCTTTAATTCAACTGTTTAGTACTGTAATTTGATTTAATTCAAGACATTTTTAATTTTTAAAGAATGTGCATGATGATGGAAATATATGAGGAATATTTAACATAGCCTTAAGAATATATTGTTAATGTATAGAATTATACTAATAATTTGGATTCTTAAGAATGTCAAATCATTGGGGGCTGGTGAGATGGCTCAGTGGTTAAGAGTACTGACTGCTCTTCCAGAGGTCATGAGTTCAAATCCCAGCAACCACATGGTGGCTCACAACCATCTGCAATGATATCTGATGCCCTCTTGTGGGGTGTCTGAAGACAGCTACAGTGTACTTATATAAATAAATAAATAGTTTAAAAAAAAAAAAAAAAAAGAATGTCAAATCATGGAAAGATCCTAAATTAGATCATTTTTCTGGTAATTTCAGCAATATTATTTACTATCGTTTCCTTTATAGGATAATTATGCACTAGATTCTCTATCTAAAACTTACAGAGAATCCAACATCATTAAGATATGTGCGTGGATTTTATTTTAAAAAATTATCTTTTGTACATTCAGGCAGTTTTTCTAGAGAATATCTTATTGGCTGGAAACCCTAAGGAAATTAACTATAGAGGAGGTCTAATTAGATCAAGATAGTAGTTGACTGAGATACTCTTTATGTGTTGCTGTTCAGAATACAGTTACAGTTTGCTTTATAACACATTGCATGGCTACCTATATCATATTATGTATGTTTGATGTCATACCTATTGCTCAATTGTAATTTCATTTTCTGAAATAAAGTAGCTTTCTTAACAGATAAACATCTTTCCCTGCATTGCTGGAGACTCCTGTTTCCTGCTTAGTGAATGTTTAAAAGGGGATTCATAGGTTGTAGGTAAATATTTTCCTGTGTTTATTGTTATTATATTTCTGTCTTACTTACCTGCTCTGTGTTGTACAGATAAATCATTTCATATCCATATTGTACTCTTAAGAACCTGAATTTTATATTTTGAGGACAAGCCTTTCTTTTAGGCTTTGCTTAGCTTCAGTGAAGTAAAGATATGTTAATGATACCACTTTGGATAAGCTTCTTTAATTCTGTATAACAATGTAATTAATTATTAAGTTAGTACAAATATTAAAATAAATTTGGCATTAGATAAATGTATCAGTTAAATTATTAAAATATGAACAATGGTCATGTTCATTAAAATGTTTTAATAACAAAATTATCTGGCTTGCACTTTAAATTTTGAACTAAAAGTATGTTCTTAACTTCATCCAATTAGGCTTTTAGACTTCAGAATATTTGATACTTATTTATAATTGTTGATTGCCTAAAAAGCAATTGAAAGATAAAACGACATCTTTCCCCAGAACATATAAACATGATAATTATCTTTTATTTTATGCTTGGGAAAGTTTTGTTCTAATTTTGAAGGGGCAAAAAAGTTCTTTAGCAGAAAGCTATTAGACCACTGAGAATTGAGCACCAGCGCATGTGGTGTGTATTAGAGTACTGTTGGTAATTTTACTGCTGCTAGCTTAAAATCCTCAAGGGGGAGTTAATTACAGGAAAGCCATTCTAAATATCAGTAAGCTGCATATTTTCTATGACAAGAGGTTTTTCAGTTGAGATTGAACAATTCCAGAATCTGAGCCTGTAAAAATAAGTAAATAAATAAATTAAAGTGGGTGTTTGTATGCATTTAGTACAGTTTAGTACAGAGTTTTTTTATGAAACTATTTAATTCAAAAGGTACCTTGTTTTACTATGAGTCAATGTGATGAGAACATATTTAAAACTTTCAAATCCCAGTTGGGAGGTATAACACATTATATTTTTAGTAGCCATTTAAAATGAATGAATTTATTTACGGAGCTATTTTAAACCATTGCACATTGCTACCAAGAACTGTGATTTTTTGTAAATGTTTGCAGGTTAAACAGCTTTCTTTTTCAAATAAACTTGGTGTACCTTGGTATCCATATGGCGATGATCCTATAGAAAGTAATGAACATGATGCCTTGTCTCTCATGTAGTTGATATCAGGCAAATTTAGGTTATGATTATTTACTTGTAATTCTTACTTCATCTTTTAAATTCACTATGAGAGGCAAAGAATTAAGTAACTCTTTAATTCAGTAACATTTATATTTATACAGTAGTTTTCCTTTTCTGTTGCTCTCTTCTGTCTAAGAGCTGGTGCATGACAGACAGAAGCTTTACCTCAAACTCTGGTACCAACATGCTTGGTTCTGCATCTTGACTGTAGTTATCATGGGCCCTTTTACCTTAGGCAAATGATATAAACTCTCTGAATCTGTTTTCTTATCTGAAATTGAGGAATTACCATGTTTCTAAGAATTAAATGAGTTAAATATATAAAATAATATGAACACTGTGGCATATAAGTGCTATGTAATATCCTTGTTAGTAGTATTTTTGCTTTGAAGGGAGTTATAAATCTCAAAAATGAAGAGGATGTAGTGCACCAATTTAATAATAAAACCTAACTGGTAAATGAAAATGTCTTACAATTTAATGTATAAGGAAAGCTCAGATGATTCTTCCTTTTGGATTTCTCAGTGGTCAGGTTTTTTGTTTGTTTGTTTAGTCAACTTGATTATGTTTAAAAGATCTTGTTTTTATTAAGACAATTTTTATTTTAATGTAGGGAATCTATATGTACTTAATTCAAACAAAGATAACGATCCATAATGTTGTTTTTCCAAATAGGTAATAGTTAATTGGTACATTTCCTTTAAGGTTTTAAAAATATAAAGTAAGTTTAATGTAAAATATTAAACATTTAATATTAAACTTTTAAAAATATTTACAGAGTTTCTGTATTTGTGCACTTTACCATGTTCTATTATAGAGTGAAAAAAGTGAAATTTTATTTACCTGTAGAATGCACTCAAAGCTAAATACAAAACATTTCTTCCCTGAATTCCTTATTTAATATAAAAGCCCAAAATTCTATTTAGTGCCATAAATACTGCATATTAATGATATGCACGATTAAACTACAAGAAAGGTAAATAAAACTTTTACCATGACCATGATCCATAGCCATAACCAAAGATACTTGGTCTGTTGAGATAACCAGGTAACAACACACAGGAGCAGTTTGTTAGCATCAGTTCTGTAGGTAAACAGCCACTCTAAGCAAGTGCCTCTCAGCCTTCTTAATTCTGCGACCTTTTAATACAGTTCCTCATGTTGTGGTGATAACAATCATAAAATTATTTTGTTGCTGCTTTATAACTGTAATTTTGATACCCTTATGGATCGTAATGTAAATGTTTGATATGCAGAATATCTGATATGAGACCCCCAAGAGGTTGCAAACCGCTGCTGCTCTAAACCCAGGCTTTATTCCTTTTGTGTTTGAGCCTTATATCTGGGCAGAAACTGTAGTGGGGCAAACAGCCTAACCATCGGATTTCCACATCAATAGCTCCGGCCTGGGTGGATCAGGTGCTTCACCCCCCCACCCCGGGGGGTTTCCCTTGCTAGAAACCCCTTCCTGAACTTTCCCTTCTGTGGCACCATTCAAAGAAATTGAAGGTTAGGAAAAAACAAAACAAAACAACAAAACACCATTTCTTGAGCTTTTCAAACAAGCCCTAGCTGCTTGTCTTCTTTTCTCCTAGAAAACTGCCCGCCCAGAGCACCAGAGTGGCGCTGGAGAGCAACTTGGGGTTCGAGTGCTCGCCTTCCAGCTGCAAGCTGGTTCCTTTCTTTGGTTCCATTGCCCCTCCTTCTTGGCCTTGCTGCCTAGTCCTGAGGCCACAGGAGGCTCTTTGCCCAGAAGCCTCACAGCCTACTGTTGTTATGATTGCCCCCGGGGTGTCTTAGCCCTTTAGTTTAAACAGCAGAAGAGGGAGGTGTGGAGCCTCGCTTCCTTGCTACAATGCCTCCCTCTCAATATTTGTGTTAGTGTTGTGGGCAGGGGAGGATGTCTGAAAATGTGGGAGAGGGCCCTGGGCAGGAGGAGAGGGGAATGAAGAACAGAATGCTGCTGCTGCAACTTTTATTAGTATCCCATAGGGCTTTGGGGTTTGGGCCTTCATCCTCATTGGCTGGTGTCAGTCCTCAAGCACGGACCACTCTTCTGGACACTCCCTGACCCTTTCCAAATACAAGCCAGTGTAATATACTCAGTGAAATGAATGGCTACTCATTATTTTTCCATGTTAAATTAGCATTGTTTTCTAGACTAGGTTCTGATTTTTCCCACTAAGGAACACATTGTGGGGGAGGGGCGCTGCTTTGGAATCCTTTCCTGCCCTAACTATAAGTAAATAAATGGCTGGGTGAGCAGTGCAAGGGTCAGATTTAATGGGATTAGGGTGCTTGTTCAGGGTAACATTACACTAGCTTGGGGAATCGAGTTTGTCAGAAGGAGCGTGTGTGCCATCCCGGTCACTTTACCTACTGTGGGTGACTGTATAAAAGATTGGCCATCTCTGGCTACCTTACCCTTTCTGCATCCCTACCCCTCTGCCAGAGTGTTTCTCCAGGGCTGATGGACAGCTTTGTTTCCTTTTCATTTCAGCTGCAGATGAAGACATCCTTGCTAAAGGAAAACAGTCCATCAAGAGTCAGGCTTTAGGAAATCAGAACTCTGAAAACGAGACCCTCCTGGAAGGCGACGACGATACTCTGTCATCCGTGGATGAGAAAGATTTAGAGAATCTTGCCGGTAATTCAGTGGCTGCGCAGATATTTCAGCTGGCTCTGGGACAATGAGCATCTAATTACTTACTTTTTCAGCTGTGACCACTGGGACTACCAAGCCTACATCCACAATTATATTAACTAGAAATTGGTTTTGTTCTTCCCAGTGTTTCTCCCTTCATCTTCTATAATTGTTCTTATTTTTTCTTCTTCCCAGCCCTCTGATCTTCCTGATTTTTTCTTTTATATATAATTTCCATTGAATCAAAAAAAAAACGTTAAAAGCAGCTACAACAGAATTGCTTCATGCAGCCTTTGAACGCTGCCATTCTCTATAAAATGAGGATTATAAGTGAAATTTTGCCAGTTGTTTTGTAAACAAAGCTTGGAGGCAGTTTGCTTTAAACATAGACATTTAGGGAAATACTGAATATTCAAGTAAGTCACTCAAAAACTGAACCTCAAAAATTCCCTGGGAGTTACACATTTTTCATAGTACAGGAATTTTAATTTATATTTAGGAGATTCTGTTTTATTTTTCTTATGGAAAAAAAATTCACTTTTTTACCCTGAAGTTTTAGTCATCCATAGATGACTTTTTACCTTTAATATCTATGATTTTTTATTATTGTTGCTATTATTATTATTATTATTATTATTATATTTGTTGAGGAAATATGAAAAAGCATAGTTTGTATGTGTGAAAATTACATAGTTTTTAATTGCAGTGAATTTAAAAGAATAGGCATTTGAAAGCTTTTATTTGGCAATATACCTTCAACCTTGTGGTACCATGCAAAATGAAAACAAAGCTGGAGACTGATTACCCTGTTTGATGACCGTAAACCTCTCAACGTAGAATGAGATTAGTTGGAGTGTGTTTGTTAAGGCGTCTGTAGTGGGAAGGAGTGGAGGTTAAGGAGGACACCGCTGTTCTGCTATTTCCCTTCATATCTACGTATCCGTCTCCTTTTTTACTTTACCCCTATTCTTATGACTAACGATACGTTCTCACAGTAATAGAGGTGAAAGGGAGTTTAATTATATAATCTTGACAATGGCAATGGGATTAAGAAGTAATCCACACTAATAAAGTGGTGTGGGTTAGAAATGAAGTGGAAATTGTCAGGGGTCTTCTGTAGAACCTAGGCTGCCCCAGCTTCTGCAGCTGTCTGCTTACCCTGTAATTGAATGTCTGAGAATGATTGAAAAAATGTTATTTCTTCTCAGGATTACATGCTAATGTACAGAGGGCAAAAGGAGACAGCAAAAGAACACATAGCTGCTTATTTCATCCATTTACAGGGATGAGCTTTGGGAAATCATGGCTGTTCTGAAGCTATCTGCTCCCCATCTGCAAACACAATGCATTTGTACATTGGGAATAGAGGGCAAAACCTGCTCTGATCTCTGCAGAGCATCCCTTCTATTGTCCTACTGGCACACATTAAGATTGATGTGAGATTAAGGACCATCACACTTCAAACAATCGATGGGAATGTCAATTCATCTGAATTTTGAAACACTTATTCATCCATTGATTACCTGAATAGGTGCACCTTGTTTATAGGCACTATATTAATTCAGAATTACAAATGCCACTCTTCTCTTTGGCTGTTTGTTTTTTTTTTTAATTACAGGATTTGTACAGTGAGAAATTGTTGAATTTCAAATTGTTTCTGAATATATCTCTAACTAAATATGTATTATATAATTTATGTTCAGCCCTTATTTTAGGGTTAGCTCTAATGTACTTTAAGCTGTTCTGTCTATAGTCCATCTATTGTTTTTAGTAGCAGACTGATTTGTCTCTTTGATAAGCCCTGTGGAGATTTGATTATTCCAATAAAAATTCATTCACTTGGAAACCCACCCTCCAGCTGTTTACTCCCAGAGTCCCTGAACTATACTAATATTAGATTTGGAGGCACTGAGCAATATTTAACAGTGGAAAGGACACTTTGAGAAGAAATATTTTCACCAGTCTTATATAGGGAGAAAGTTACCATGGAAGAGGCTTTTTTATAAAACTGGTGCAGAATTTTTATCACAGAAGATGGTTTATCAGAGGATTTTCAAACAGTTCACTCATAAAGCTAGTCTTTTTTGTGTGCATGACTCAGCCAAGCTCTAAAGTCACCCCTGGCCTTGGAAGCCTATTGAGGCCTCCTTGCTCCTGGTTGTTATTCCATGTTGTTGGTAGCCCGAGGCTGGCTTTCTAAATGTAATGAGGATGTACTTATTTAGGCAGAGCCTCCTTCTTACCTAGAGATTAGACCAACATTTTACACACTCCCTGTAAGATAATTGCTTCTTAGCTTACTATTATCGTTAACTGCCTGTTATAAATCTTATAGTATGAGAAGCCGAACTTTGCATCTTCAGAGGTAGATTCTGTGTGGACAGAATAGTGAAGTATAGAGGTCAGAGGTGTTGTACTTAGACGTGAGAATTTTCAAAAATTAAATATTATTTTTGGTAAAATTTGAGTTTTGAAAAATTTGATTCTAACTTCTATGGCTTATCTTTTTCTCTTGGCAGGTCCTGTTAGCCTGAGCACTCCAGCCCAGCTTGTGGCCCCCTCTGTTGTGGTAAAAGGCACTCTCTCTGTCACCTCCTCTGAACTCTTTTTTGAGGTGGATGAAGAGGATCCCAACTTCAAGAAAATTGACCCAAAGGTGAGAAGATGGGGAAGGAAGGGATTCTTTATTTATTTTGTTATTATGGAATAATGTGTTCTACAAATTAAGATTGGAATAGGTAAAATCTCATAAGCTTAGTTCAAAGCTCCTGCAGAACTGCTACTGCTTACTACAAAACAGTTATCACTTCTAGCTTAAGACTCTTTTACCATCTTGTTAGATTACTGACATTCATTTAAATTCAAAAACAATTTCCACTTAATTGCATTTATCATTAGTTCTTCAGGGAAGAGACCTCAGGGAACATTGTCTATAAATATATTCTGCCTGAAGGGGTCCAGAGTGAATTAAGCAACAAAAATTCAGTGAGCTTGAGAGTAGAATTGTTTTGTTTAGCCCTTATATTTTCTAGATATAACACCAATATATCATTATCCTTGCTTTGTCCCCATGGCTTGCTATTCTTTGATGCATAGGAACATATTCTGCCAGAGTGTGATACCTCTGTTTCCCATTACCTGTGGTAGCTTTTACAAGGCACTGCATAATTTCCTATTCTTAAATGAAAATGTAATTTCCCCTTTCAAATGTATTTTGATTACTTTTCAGACCATGGCAATTTTACTTTACTTAGAAACATTTCTGTTTTTTAACACAGTCATAAAGCCAAAATAATGTTGATTTTTATGAAAGTAAGTGGTATAATTTGTCCTGAGTGGAAGCAGTTTATTGAAAAATAACCAAGTAAGTGTCCTGTAGAAAGAGTAGTGGTTTAAAATGGAATATTTAATTTTACTGGCTTATATTGTGTGTGTGTGTGTGTGTGTGTGTGTGTAGTATGCATTCTATTTATTAGTAGCCCCTTCAGTTTTGGAATCATGTGGAACTGTGAAATCTTCATAATTTGGAAGTATTTCTAAAAAAATTTTAGAAAAAAATGTTATAATTTTGTTGAGCTTTACAGACAAATCATTTCTTGTCTTAGGCATGCTTGCTTTAAGTACTTTGTTTCCATATCACTGTCTGTATTCAGGGAGAACTTGCTGGAGCACATAAAAAGACAGCCATGGGAGAACTGGTTGTTTGCAGTTAGATAAATCAGTGAATCCAGTACAGAGAAAACTTGAATTCTGAAATGTTATACCTAGAAATGTTTTGTACTTTGTCTCATGGTTAAAGTATCTGAAAATATGTTATAAATTCATTATGAAAGGTTACCAAAATTACTTAAACTCTGATTCCTAACATTTCAGAACTTCAGAGAGACTGAGACTTTATTCAGATTAGTTTACTATACTTTTGGGACAAACATAGTTTAAAGTCTAAAATCTGATCAATGGTATCTAAAAACGTTTTTCAAAATTAAGATCTTTGTCAACATCCTTTGAGAACAGGTTCTTTGAAGTTATTTGTTCTTTTATAGGAAGCTGTAGCTTTTAAGTTTTCCTCATATTTATGTAGCATAATTAAATTAGCTTTCTTTCTCTGTTGCTTGTAAAACATAAGCTATTTTACCTTAATTATGAAATGTGTCTTATACTGCAACGTACCTAGTTCTCCAGACTGCAACATATCTGAAAGTAACTTCAGCAGGTTATTGACAGAACCTTTAATTTAATATCTACATTAATACTAAAAGGTATTTTTTATTGTAAATACCAACACTTTTCTTGACTACAACATTTTTTACATTTAAAAACATTTTTAAAACTTGTATTAAATAAGAATGGGAAGATTTTGAACTGGGAAAATTTTTTCCTTGTCAATACTTACTAACATTTTTGTAAACTAGTTGGAAGAAATGCTGTTTCTCAATAGAAATACTTTTTTGAGTGAATTAGTCATTTTTTTTGAATTAGTCATTTTTTAAGAAAGCATTTTAACCTTTTAAATCAAATACTGTGCCTTAAATGATTTTTGTGCACCTCTGAGTAGCTATTGTTTTATATTTAAGAACATATTCCTTTGAAAATTTTCTTAATATTCAGACCTTTTTCTTAAGAGGATAAATTGTTTTATTATTTAAAATAATTAGTGAGTGCATTGAATTAATGAGTTTGTTTTTATTTTTACAAGAAGGCACACCACACAGACACACAGACACACAGACACACAGACACACACACACACACACACACACACACAAGGTACTATGTACATTGAAAGGTCAAAGGTATTTTCAGAGTAGGTAGTCCCTGAGCTTATATTTGTGACACAGAATTACTTTTCCCAGGGCAGCCTAGAGCTTATGCCTGTTCTGTCAAGTGACCTGGTGCTTCAGAGCCCGAGGAGCTTCCTAGGGCTCAGTAATCTTAGTCCTCCTGTTCTCAGCACTACACGCCCCTCCCCCACCCAGACTTCTCATCAGAAAACTGCTTTTTACAACATTTTCTTCTATATCTTTCACTTATAGATTAAAAAAAATGAAAAATAGATGAAGTTTAAAGAATAAAATTTAAATATTAGAGGTAGTATTGTAACATATTTTGTTTCTTTACTTCACATGATCAAATCTTGTCCTTTGACCATAAAGCAAACAAACCAGTTTTTTTAGGATAGTATCAGTTTTACTAATTATTTTTTATTCTAAACAGTTATCTTATTGCATATAAAAGAAATCTTATCAGAGTTGAAACATTGAAATGAGTCTATGGGATTGTTACCTGAGAAAGCAGAATATGGAAGGTACTTTTCCTATTCCTAAATTTTTAGATGAATTATTTAGGTCATAAAATAGTTTTAAGACCATTATATATAAGTAGATTCAAATTTTGAAAATTTGAAATTTTATTAAAATGATCATGTTTATTGCATTCATAACTAAATCATTAAAAAACAAAGTAGTTAACAGATCTGAATAGTTCATATTACCAGTTGCTAGAGGAGAGAAATATTGCAGTGACTATTTTATTATTTTTAGTGTTGTTGATTTACTTGCTAATTTTATTTATTATTACTAGTTGAAACTTGAACAAATAGTTGAAGAAAGAACATGAAATTACTTCATTCTTTAAAAACACTTTTAAAAACATTTTTGAATTAGATTTTTTTAGACCTTCAAAAAAATATCCTGATAAAATCTGGAAAAATTTTTAAAAGGCTTTTTTATTATTTTAAATTTTAGGATTAACAACATATTGTTTCATACATTTTTTCAAATATTGCGTTAAAATCCACAGAACAAATATATGTTATATTGAGTAAAATCCTTCTTTTGTTTTTTACTAAGGATTTTAGGTTAAATTTATATAATTAATTCTCCAGAATATGCTGTATTTTAAACTTTGCAAACAGAGTTCAAATGGAAGCTTCCTGCATTCAGTTCAAGTTCACATCTTGTAAGTTAGAAAGTGATCTCATCTGCCTTCATTCAAGAACAATCCGCAAGCAGCCAATTACAATGTAAAGTAATATTTTTATTACTGGTTTACTGGTTTCAACAAGACATTTTAGGGCAGGGGTAGAGGTGCAAAAGGAGGAGGCAGGGGCACATTGACATTGGCACTGAGACACATTTCACATCAGTAAAACTTTGTAAAAAGTAATTTCACATATAGTTAAATAATTATTTTCACTTGGTGACAATCATTCAAGCAACTCAAAACAAGGAGGGGCGGGTGTAAAGAAGGAAAAGAGGGGAAGCTACTATACATTGATTAGAAAAATGTACCTTGGGTTTCATTTTGTGTTGGCAAAGCCGGATTGCTTCTTTTGTGCGATCTTTAAGTTCACATTGTTTGGAAGGAAACGATCATTTTTGTGCAAGAGTGTGAATTTTGGGGGTTGTTGGTTGGTTTGCCCTCTTTTGTTTGCTTCTTAATTAGGATGTCTTCTGCCTACTCCTGTTCTTTCAGGTGATTTACATAAAAGTTTGTGTTTCTAGTTTTTGCTGTTGTTGTGTGTTCTGAGAGAGCATGCCCATTTTGTGTTGCTTTCTACGCAGTCGGCAGCACTCTATAGTTTGTCCAAGCTTTTGGGATTGGTGAGGATTTCCCTGGCCAATCTCCAGGTCTGCTTGGCAGCGCTCTCCAGGGCCGAGTGGGGCTTGCCCTGGAAGAGGTCGAGGTTGGGCAAAAAGTAGTGAGGGCAGCGGCGGCACTGCAGGCAGGAGATGAGCTGTAGCAGGATGCCGTTCAGACGGTCGCCCAAGCAAGCCTCGTCCCAGTCCGTTTCCCTCGGGTGTTTCTCGCACTCGTACAGCAGCAGCGTCTTCATGTGGTAGTTATTGAGCGGCTGGCCAGGCAGCTCCAGGTGGCGGTCCCGCAGCGTCTTCAGCACCGAGAGGCACTTGTTTCTACAGCCGCCCATCAGCAAGCGGTTCTCCGCCTCACCGAACTGCAGCACCCAGGCGTCGCTTTCTGCGGAGCTCTGCTTGCCAGTCAGAGAGTAGCACTCCTTGGAGAGCAAGTTGAACCCTTCGGCCTTGACCTCCGCCACCCGATTGGGGCCGGGCCAGGGGATGTGGGGCATAGGCCACTGTGCCGCGCTGCGAGGCCAGATCCCGGTGCACTTGAACGCTGGGGTGATTTGCACCACGTAGCGCTCCCTGATGCGCAACTTGACCTCACTAGTGTCGGCGATCATCTTGACCACGTCTCGATAGCTACACTTGTCCACCGCCTGGGCTACCAGTGTCTGGAAACGCGAGCGGATCTTGCGCGCAGAGAGGTAGCCAGACGCTGTGATGAACTCGACCCAAAGAGACATGCTACGCTTCCGCCCATCGCTTAATTTGAGCACCGCACAGCCGGGCAGAGATCCGTCGTCCACGAAGTTGAAGACTCCCATCTGGTTGAGGTAGAGTACCACCTCGAACTCGGTGGGCGAGATGACTTCCAGCCCCTCGTAGCGGGCGTCAATCTCGCTCAGAGAGCTGATGAAGCGCGGCTCCTGCACCTCCACTTCCTTCAGCACATCCGACACTACCTTACAGACTTCTCGGATGGTCTTGGCGATCGCAGCCTTGCGCGCCTGGCAGCGCTCGGTGTAGTATTTATTGAGCTGGTAAACCAGCTTGGCCTGGGCGGCGATCATGT